ACGCAAGCGTAGGATGATCACCCCTGTCGCTGGCCGCCTTTGGGGGGGTGTATAGTGTGAAAGGCCGAAACACCCTAGGAACCAAAGGTACCCTATTGACGATGGGCTCCCCAAATTTCACCAGGCTCAATGTTCATGAACTCTTGGAAGTGCTTGCACAAAGGATAGTAACATTATCCTGTGTTCTTGGAATCATAGGATATTCACCGTCCACTGTCACATGAACGGCGTGCATTCATTCGTACGGCGAATACACCCGCAGGACAAACCAGAGCGACCTTGCCGGATTCAAACATTGCAACAGGCGGCGAACACACGACCTCGAGGCCACGTCCCCACTCCAAATAAGCCAGCCTTGCTTTTTGCAGCCTTTAAATGTGGACACATTTAGAGACGCTTACGTGAATTATAACTCAAAAGGCAGTAATGACTGACAAAGCCATTTAAGGAAAGGGGGGGAAAGACAATAACACATTTAATGGAGTCACATTATCTTGGGCTCATGCTGGTGACCAATGATTGTATGAAAACCCATCCAATTAAATTCGAATATTTTTTTTCACTTAATTTGGCTATATTAGCTCTTAAGAATGAAACAAAAACGTCAGTTGCACACAAACACGGAATGCTAAAAGGGTAGGGCACCTCCGATTAGCACTGATGGCTACATACGGTGCAAAAGAAGTCAACGTACTACCTCTTGTGGGCCTGTTCTCCAACACACGAGGGTAATGTATGCTGTATAAGTTACCAATGGGCACCATTGGAATGAGAGGATACATTTTTAAAGGAATGGGGCCCCTTTAAAAAGGTCCCACAGAATACGAGGTGTGAGTTGGCCAGGTCTCTTACTCAAGTTCCTCTGCGATCATCACTCAAGGTGGTAGGGGACGCCAAGCTGCACAGTAGTGCTGGCCGGCTGCTGGTCCATTTGGCGTGATGAGATTCAGCTAATAATTTAATGATAGCGTAGTTTGGCATCGCAAACTGCTCTTAAGTGTATTCTAGTCTCTGCAATGTAATACCTGAGGTGTAATAAAATGTAAAAACTAATCAAGAATAAGTGGGCACACAGGTGAACATTGCAGGAAGTGGTGATGGCGGTTGGCCACCTCCTGTTCTCTCACCAACCTTCCCTTTTTAAATCCTTTATATTAAGTTAAATTGCTTGCTTGCGCGCTTACGACCGTGCAAATCTTTCGGGCGTTTTTTAACCCACTTCCCGTGATCCAATCGAGCTGACATTTTGCACACAGACTCGTTGTGCGTGACAATTTATTTTCGTGAAAAAAATTTTTCCATAACTTTACACTTTTTAGGAAATTTTTTTTAAATATTTAATTACCAATTGCTTAATGGTGGCAGGCAATCATCTGACCCATAGGTGGCAGCCATCTCAAGCCAGAGGACGAGAGGACTCTAGCCGCCAAAAAACTTTGTTTTTTCGGGTTAATTTTTTTCCCCCGCAGATGAAATGAGAACAAACAGCTGTTGATATACTTGTGACCTGTTTATTGAAAACCTGCATACAGTGGTCATTTCTGAACAAGTTACATACAAAAGAGCGTTGTCCTCGCCCGACGGATTTCCAACTCAAGTCTGAACAGCACAGCTGGCTCACGGCTTCACATTGTTCCTACGTGACTCGAAGACCCAACGAGTTCCACACAATGCAGGCCCTTTGCCCTGCGCCGGGGCCACCGTGCCGTGTAACGGCATCGTACACCACCACCCGATCCACCCCACCACCAATCCATGCCAAACACCCATCCGTATAAACTCCACACTACCCAGAAAAAATATCACTTCAGCTTTGCAGGATTGCTCCCTTAGGGTATGACAAAATTTACGTTTTTTCCATGCAATTCACATTGGACCTAACGACTGCATCCTGCAGTCAGCAACCCAGCGCACAGGCTATTTTCAATGCACAATGTGGAGCTTAAAATCAAATAATTCCTTGAAAATGCACGTGCGCAACCAACATCAAGTCAGTCCTCAGCATATGGATGAACCAGTCCAGGACAGCTTGGGGGGCGGCGGGCAGGTGGAGGGGGGCAGCACTTCAGAGCAAAGAATAAAGCAAAAGCGTTGGTTGTCGAAACCGGCCTGTAACATTGCTTCAGCACTGCCTACCAGCATCAAGGTCTGTGTCGAATCATGTACAAGGTGACACCATGCACCGGAAATGTTTTCAACATTTTGTATATTATAAAATGGAAAAGTAAGCGAAAAAGGTAAAAAAGCACCTGCCTTAAAAAGATTTCAGAGTAATAAAAATGCGACAATGTGACCGTCCATTCAAACAACACAAACTACGCTTCGTATCGATTATCATATCCTTTTGCATAATTCTACTCTGAAATTAATCAGCTATTCGTTCAGAATCAATTAACACTTTTACATTCGAAAAGTGAGGCTTCCCATCAAAGCTATGCTCTGTTATTAAACCACTATCTTCATTACATTATTCTAAACTCAGATCCATGGCTTCTCACCACTTTCTAGTACAATGTGTTGAATCTTTTTAATAGCGGTCATTATGGGCAAATAAAGAAAAATACTAACAATTAAGTGTTTAACTATAAACTCAGTACTGTCATTGAATATTAGAAAATCATAGCTAAACCACGACCTTAAACAACACAAACCATCATTTTGCTGTTTGGAACAAACCACGTCATGGCCAAAGTTACAGGCACCTCCCTTTACTAATCTCCAACTTGTGCAGAATAAAAAAAACCCCATCAGAGCTGTGCCCAACATCTAACAGCAATGGACGGTGTGAAAGCTAAATGTAAATCGGCGATGCTCTACAGTAAGGAAAGGGTGTTGGAAAAGGTTGTGGGTAACGGACGGGGTGCGTTACACAAGCCCTCGCCGTGAAACAGTCTTCTCACGGCAGAAAAACCTCTTTCCCCTCGTGAAACACCAAGGCTGCAAAGTACCACCGCTACGTTACGTTTCCGCACGACGCCTAAAAAAACGTTACATTTTCCCAAAGAAATAACGTTACACAAAGAAAGATCCGCTAGGTGAAAAATACAATGCGCGCAGGCGACGGCCACTGTCGAACTCTGCATTTGATTTTGCACGCGATCTCGTCCATGTCACGAGAAACCACTCGGACTGTGAACCTCCCCCCCCACCCACCGAACCAATTAAACACCCACTTCCATTCGCGCATCCTACCGGCCCAGGCTTTCCAAGAATTCCCCCCCCCTACCCATCACAACTGCCCAGCAGGCGCATGTCACGTGAATTGCATGGAAAAAAGTTTAACTTCACCAACTGCTGGTTGGACACACTTTTCTCAAACCTCAGTGGGAAGCCCGGGATTGGTTGGGCATATCAATCAAGAGTGGAGTTTAGTTAGTTTACCCGCTGCGATGCGAGACCACTCATTGGTCCATCATGCTCAGGATCATCTCGGGCGTGATGTCGTTTTTTGGGCCCCTCGTCTGCCGCCGTCTCAACAGCCAACACCACCACATGCTCTTTCGCGCCCCCCTCCTCCTCTTCTTCTTCCTGTTCTTCCCCCTCACCCCCCCTCCTCGCCATCTGCCGCCTCCTCCTCTTCCTCCTCCTCCTCGTCGTCATCAGGCCCATCGGGGTCCGCCCACCGTCACCGGGATGATCTCGATGATGCCGCAGGCCACACTGTCTATAGTGGAGTCCAAGTCTGTGGGCTCCGTCTTTGGCTCCGTCTTGATCTCTGCTGAAACAAATATGCACGGGCGCACACTTCAAACGGTGCAAAAAATACTGGTCCCCATAGGAAATCATTCTGCGAGACATTACAAAATCAGAATCTTTATTTATACTGTAGTCAGCACAACACTGCAATTTTCAATTATTCTTTACTACGTGCCAAAAATGCCTGCAAGATGCAGTGTTATATTTCTTCAATTGGCCCAAATGCATAGACTTTTACACACAATATAAGTGTTTTGAAGCACCACTCGATTGACACAGGTTAGTGGGACACAAAACACATTGTGCGACTACAATGAGTGGAAGGGGCTAACCCGAGAGATATGCTCACAAAGCACTTTCTTCAAGGCAGTGCATGCCTGTGGAGGTCACCATCTCGGAGGAGGAGATTCAACTTGTGGTTGTGATCAGTGCCCGCTAGCCCTCACCACAGGCGATCGATCGCTCCGAGAACCCCGCTCGCTCACTCACTCACCTGAGCCAGCCAACCTTCTTGGCGGGGCGGCCTGGCTTGGCCTTGGAGGGCGGCCACGGCGCCGCTTCATGGGGGGCGGCTCTGGCTCTTCCACTTCCTCATCCGCTACTTCCACACTCTCCTCATTCAGCTCCTCCTCTTCCTCATCCTCGTCCGTGGGCATTTCATCCGACTCTGATTTACAAGTGGCGAGAAGAACGTCAAGAGGTAAAGCGCAGCACTAACATCCGCTGGGAAGAGGCATCAAGGTGAATATATAAACTTCGAGATAAAATACGGAGAGGCATGCAAATCCCAGGGCATTAATAATCCGCCTGTCAGTGCGAGGCATCTCACCGCTCGACGAGCCGTGCTTGCGAGACTGCATCTTGCGCTTGCGCCCCCGGCGGCGCCCGCGCCGAGCCTTGCCGTTCTGCTCGCCACTTTCCAGCTCTCCATCGCACATGTCAAAGTGCTTCATCCATCGTGCTCTGCGCAACGCAAGCCATCCCCAAAATTGTCAAATGGGGTCAGGTCAGTCGGCACAATTCACCACGCCAAGTAAACAACAGCAACCTCAGGTATACAAGACATACACACGCGACTGAGACAATGCAGCTTCAACGAGGGCCAATCTCTGCAACACCGAGGCTGACCCCAGCCGTGGCAGCGCACCACGTTCCATTTGCTCACTCACCCTGCGAGTAAAGTTGCGGTGGCATTTGCTGCACTCATAAGTGGTGGGCACAAAGCTGGGGTCGTGGTAGCGTTTGAAGTGAGTCGAGGAGCTGCTTCTGGCGGAAGGTCTTGTCGCAGAGCGTGCACTCAAATGGCTTCTCCCCGGTGTGCACGCGTTTGTGCATGATCATGTGTCGCTCCTAGTTGTCAGACGAAAGCACCAGCAGACACAACACACAGACCACACCAGCACGCACACGTGGTACAAGGTTAGAATGCCGTCGCTAGGTTTGAGGTGGGCAGGGGTGGCAACCTGCGGCTCTGGAAGAGCCAAATTCGGCTTTTAAGGACTGTTTTGTAACGTTATTTATTAAGGACTGTCTATATTTCCAAGGATTATGACAATTTTTTGTTGTACCAAATTCCCAACAAAAATGTCTTTTCTTATTATTTTGGTTGCCGACCACTTGACTCGGGGGTAATAATGCCCCCTGCTGTGACACCACCGCAAGCGTGAGCTGCGCACGGAAACAAAGAGTCAGCGCGATGTGTGGTGATGGGGGGTTGGTGTGTGGTGGCGTTCACCTGCTTGCAGGCGTACTCGCACTGGTCACACTTGAAGCGCTTCTCGTTGCGGTGCGTGCGCTGGTGCTGCATGAGGGCGTAGCGCTCGTGGAAGATGGCGCGACAGTAGCGGCACCTCAGCTCGCGCTCAAGCACCGCGTGCTGCTTGCGGAGGTGAACACCTAAAGAGATGGTGAGGGTTTTTTGGATGGGAGCCCGGGGTTGGGACAGGAATAAGTTCTTGTCATCACAGCAATTTAATCAACAGAATGACAGGCATGGCCGCAGTGATAACACTCGTGGTCTCACACCAAGAAAGGTTCGATTCCCAACTCGGGTGCTTTTCTGTGTGGAGTTCATATGTTCTCCCCCTGTTTCGTATGGTTTTCTTCTGAGTTATAATGGTACTGGTATTGACGAAAGCATCCCAATACTGAAAAATTATCTGCAAATTACTTAGCTAAACGATTAGCACAGTTGGCTACGTACAAAGTTCACATACATACACAGCGCATATCTACATTACACATCAACATCGCCCCATACTGCGAAACAAAACACTAGGCATGGCCATCCTGAAAAAGTCTTGAGACTCAGTGAGGCTTTTCCTGGGTAAACAAGAGTAATGATAAAACACTTGGCATGGCCATCCTGAAAAAGTCTTGAGACTCAGTGAGGCTTTCCTGGGTAAACAAGAGTAATGATAAAACCACTTGGCATGGCCATCCTGAAAAGTCTTGAGACTCAGTGAGGCTTTCCTGGGTAAACAAGAGTAATGATAAAATATAATAACAAAAAGGAACAGCAGAAATAACCTCCAAACACGCTCGTCACAGCAGGAGGCATTACGACCCCTCGTTTCAGCGTACTGCATCGCTGAGCATGCTCCTACGTTTTTAATGGGGGAAGAGGCACCCACACTGAGCTGGTAAAAACAACTTTAACATTTATTTACCCAGAAAAGCCTCAATGGTTCTTGCAATTGGTATATTTGTTCAAATCCATTCGTGAGTATTTCCCACGTGTGAGGAAAACTGGATTTCCTGGAGAAAGTTTAAGCATAAGAGGGGGCGAACCACAACATCGCCATCTCAACATCTCGCTGCCAAAGCCTACAACACCTGCCAGTCTCCCATTCACGTATGTACCAAGCTCAACCCGCCTTAAGGACCTGGCAAGTGGGGGACACTTCGGATGATTTGGCGATAGCCATAGGCAGCGTGTGGTGCGTGACTGCGGTGCGGTAGTTTCTAACGAGGTCACTCTTGCGCGCGATGACGGCGTCACAGTGCGGGCAGTGGTACTTGGGCACGTTGTCCGTGTGCTTCTGCAGTACGTGCATCTTCATGGTGCCGCTCTGAGTGAAGCGCGCGTGGCACACGTGGCATTCGTAGGGCTTCTCGCCTGCACGCACGAACGCATGGCCAACCGTTGCACTGTTAATTCAGTAAGGCCTTCCTCCTCTACAACATTCACGTCTGCTTCTTAAATTAATTACTTTTATCAACCCCAACCGGTCAAATGCACATGAAGTAATCCCAATTTGATTATAAATCCTCATCAGGATATTATTCAATGAAAAAGTGCACGTTCAAGGGTTTAAAAATCTACAGCACAGATATAACATTACATATCCCTGAAATACAAGTACCCGCTCAAGAACAGATTATGTACATATCCTTAACCGTTTTAAATTCACTTAGGACACAGTGAATAATATAGTTAATAAGAATATATTACAACGTTTATGTAAACTGAATAATTTCTCATAATTCTAATTGGATAAAAAAACTGTAATAGAAACAATCAGAAGCAACTGCACCCACATTTTCCAAGGAAAGCATTGACATTATTGTGGAAGGCAGTCACATTAGAGGTGGCAGCTGCCACGTCTCCCCAGGAAGGTGGGAGGGGATGGGCATGAGCGTCCGTACCGGAATGGGTCCTCATGTGGCGCTTGAGCTTGTAGGTGTCCCTGCTGGCGTAGCTGCACAGGCCGCACTGGAAAGGGCGTTCGCCTGTGTGCGACCGGATGTGGCGCTTCAATTTGCTCACCTGCGGCAACATGAGAGGGCAGGTAGTACACCAGTCTAGCCATTACGGGGAATGCCAAGATACATAATTTCATGATACAGTAAACCTTTGTTGATTCGACACATATGGGGCTCTAGCCTTGCCAAATTATCCAATATTCCAAATTATGTACAAATGGTACTCCCCAGTGCTTCCTGCCCCAAAAGGAGATCGAAATTTGTTTTCCAAACTCTTCTCACACCATACGCATTGACACACACCCTGCATCAATTCTATCCATTTCTGAGAGGTTGACTTGCACATAAACAAGGAAAAGTCCAAAGCAACAGGTCTGCACTCACGCTCACGACGCGCGCCACCACTACACTGAGTCATGTTTTTGGTTGTGGCGTGCGGCATCGCTGCACGTGTGTGCCAAAATTGGACCATTCGATATGGCAATTCGACTAATACTGTAAATATGCCAAAGCGCAGCCATGCAGAATTATCCTCAATTATGAATGATGAAATACCGAAATAATCAGGTTTTACTGTACATCAAAAAGATTATTGCGCACTCAAAACACATGCATACGATCGTGCATATCAGAATCGATTATATTTAATTCATGTGGCCCTGGGGTCAACAACCAAAAAAACAAGAAAAGCATTTTCTTTCAAATTCGGTAAAAACCCAATATTTCAAGAGCCGCAATGCATGTGAATATGAGATGGTCCTTGATACATAAACATTACGAAGCAGTCCTTCAAAATCCGCATGCAGGTCCGTAGGTATGTTCTTGAATCGAATCAGGTTCATGAATCATGACAATGGATCGAATTGAAATGGGGATGCATAATCAGAATAGAATGGAGCTATTCTGGAGGGTCATCACTCATGTGTCTTAGTCTAGAAATTAAGTAAATAAACTTTTGCCCAGATACTTAATACTTAGGGCATTGTCCCGGGTAAAGGGGACACACGCAGGCTCTACCTCCACGCTGGCGTAGTCACACATGGAGCACTTGAAGGGCTTCTCGTGGGTGTGCCGGTAGCGCGGTGGCGCACCAGCTCCCCGCTCGTCACAAACGCCATGTCGCACTCCATGCACTTGTGCGGCTTTGTGCCTGCAGTCGACCAGCGCACACACGCAGACATTGCACCGGGAAGCAGGCACATCTCATCAAAGCCCGTGCGCTCACATGGTCACACCGGTGTGTGGCAGAGGTCGCAACCGGGTACCCGATACCCGTACCCTACCCGATACCCGGCTACCCGTACCCGGCCAGGTACGGGTACCCATTTGCGACCCTGGTGCGGCCGGGTACGGGTACGGGTAGGCCGTGAGTCACCGGTGAGTCACTGTTTGTCACTCATTTCGGGTAGGGTACGGGTAGGGAACGGGTACCCGGCCGGGTACGGGTACCCATTTGCGACCCTGGTGCGGCCAGGTACGGGTACGGGTAAGGAATCAAAACCTGTTTGCGACCTCTGGTGTGTGGGCGGATGGCCCAGCGTGGCCGTGACCGTGCGCGAGAGCCTGCCTGTGCTCGCACGTACCGGTGTGCGTGTTGACATGGTTGCGCAGCAGCGTGACGGTGCGGAAGGCGCGTTCGCACAGGTGGCAGCAGTGTGGTCGCTCGTCCGTGTGGCTCTTCATGTGCCGATCCAGGTTGGAACGGCGTGGGCATGTGTAGCTACACAGCTCGCATTGGAACGTCTTTTTGGCTCCTGGACACACAGTGATGACAACATATGCTGCTGAGTCCACATCTATCGATACATCCCCCTACAAGCGGATTTCATCAGCTCAATGACGATTCAATTCAACATTTTTTGTTTATTTTAAATTCTTTTAATTGTTTCTGTTTTTATCTCATGTAGAGTTTTGTTTAGTATGTTCAGTAAGTTAATCTAATATAATTTACTTCAATGACAAATAACCTATTCTTATCTTCTTGGTTCTTTCGGTAAAGTCACGTAGAAGGGAAATAATAAAATACAATTCTCACAGTGAGAATTGTATTTTATTGTTTATTTGTATTATTTTATTACTATTTTATTATTTCCCTTCTACGTGACTTTACCGAAAGAACCAAGAAGATGAATCCCTGCAGTCACGAATTGTATTTTATTGTTTAGATTTTTATTATTTTATTACTATTTTATTATTTCCCTTCTACGTGACTTTACCGAAAGAACCAAGAAGATGAATCCCTGCAGTCACGAAAGCTTTAAATCGAAACCTATTATTCTTAGACAAAATTCAAAGCATTTATCAGGAATATCAAAATAGCCTTTGATCTATGAATTTTTGCATATCCAATGACCTGTATACTCCTCAGCAGAAATTTGTATTCCCATTCCATCAGAGGCTAGTTATACCCCGTGCCATACGGTCTGCTGGCCAGTTATATGCGAGGCGTAATCCATGCAGAAGTCGGGTGTAAGCGTTGCGAACCTTTCTTCTTAATGCGCGTGGGCTTGGGTGGCTTGGGTGCGATCGCCTTCTCCACGCCGACGTCCTGGCTGCTCACCAGACGCCCCTCCTCCTGCTCCTCAAAGTCGTACACCGAGATGTCGGCGTCGGCCGCCTCTTGCTGAAAACAGAAACGTGCACGCCAACACACATACGCACACATGCTTACATTAATACAGGAGCAGTTACACGTACACATTCACACATTGACATGTGTCTTCGGTGCCCCCCAAACCCACGAGGTTCAGATGAAATTTAAACTAAATTCAATAACATGTACAGCAACCTTGGGTCAATCCACTGCTAGACGAGGGGCTACCGATGCAGGTTGTAGGAGTTATTTGATAATTCTTCGTCATGCTGGTCAGTGCAGGTGTTTTTAAGGTAAGGACATACAGCACAATGGCTTTTGCTGCACTGCCCTCTGCTGTCCACAAAAGTCCCGATTCAATGAAATGGGAAATAACCGTTGACCAAGACCATATCCAGTTTCATACTTTTGCATTTATGAACATTTTTCAGACCCGACAGATATTACCTGGCTTCAGCTTACATAAATGGCAAGGAGCTGTGCTGAGTCATGTTCAGACAACCTGGGCAGGTGCTAATTCTTTCACAAAATCAACCATCAGCCATTACATATTTATACAGGCAGTATGAACGAGGTACATCAAAAACAGCTCCTGGTGCCATCGAATTAATTACCAACATCAGTTATGTATTGTCAGTTGGATTTCAAATTCAACATGAAACACGGATGAAATCAGTTTAAATTAAAGAGGCTGTTAGTGACACGTCCTTGCGCAGGCCACGAAAGAGATGTCTGTTTGCGTGCAGGGTTCCCTGCCTTGTATCGCAGCTTGTTCTTGCGCCCTTTCCGCACAGGCTTCTTTACGGGAAGCTGGTAGTCTGGGTCCTTCTCCTTGCTGCGTTCCTCAGGGTCGGGGGCAGTAATGAGCAACCCAATCCCGTCCCCGTCAACACTCCCGTCCTGCGAGCCCATCGGGGCCCGCTCCACCTCCAGCTCCCCGTTGGGCCCCACTTTCACCACTTGCACCCCCTCCGGCAGCGGCAGCGTGTGGCTATGCAGACACGATCAAAGAAGTGTTAAAACGCACAATTTCTCCCAATCAGACATTGCTTTTCAGTGTCATGTTAAAGATTAAGACATTTTCATAAGGAACTCTGGTAGCAGCAGTGCACACCATATTGTCAGAGCACAGCCATGAGAGATGAGATAAGTCAACCAGTTTTGAAAATGCTTTACCAAGTCTATTCACGTTATTGGCACATCTCACGTCAATCAGATTTTTACCTTCAGAACTGGAGTTAAGCTGAAGTTGTACATGATGATTGTTTGACCAGTCATTGGTAAATCGGGCTAATACTAACTCACTGCACTTGAGAACCCCCGCTTTAGTCTCGCTTGGTTTCCCAAATTCTAACTCAACCTCAGCAGTGCTGACTCAGTTGCAGAGGTCGCAACCGGGTACCCGATACCCGGCTACCCGGCCAGGTACGGGTACGGGTAGTTGTTTGCGACCCTGGTGCGGCCGGGTACGGGTAGGCCGTGAGTCACTGGTGAGTAACCGTTTGTCACTCATTTCGGGTAGGGTACGGGTAGGGAACGGGTACCCGTACCCGGCCGGGTACGGGTACCCGGCCGGGTACGGGTACCCATTTGCGACCCTGGTGCGGCCGGGTACGGGTAAGAAATCAAAACCTGTTTGCGACCTCTGCTCAGTTGTAGGACATTGCATGAACCACCAGAAAACTCATGGTAAATGGCTATGACGATGAATTTCACGATAAGAGTTAGAATGTACAAGTTAAATGCACCCTTGATGTCGCAATGGAAAATGGTGGCGTAAGCAGAGGCATGCACTCACCTGATGCCTCCCTCACCACCAGACTCGACCCCCTCCTGCACCGGCACGATCTGAGCGATGATTCCCTCGTTTATCCCTTCCTCCCCTGTCCGCACACACGAGCCACACAAGCCACACAAACTCATTCATGCGACGTGACTAAGTAACGTTCAAATGCAGAACGTTAGCAACATTAAATGTCAACTTGGTATCTGAGCGACGCAAGAAAACGCCATGACCTGTGCGGCACACACCCGTCGGCACCACCTCTGCCATGAGCCCGTCTGCGGTGAGCTCCTCCCCGTCGGTGACAGTTACGGTGCCGTCCTCGCCGATGCGCACCACCTCGGTGAGCATGCCTCTCTCCACGGGTACCACCTCGGTCACCAGGCCCTGCTGGTCCACGGGGACCATCTCCGTGAGCAGGCCCTGGTTCTCCATGGGCACCACCTGTGTCACGATGCCTGAAGCCTGTGGCGCGTCCCCACCTCCACATGCACAAAGTACATGTTGAGTATTATCAAGACAGGTGCGCATGCTTTTAACACTCATTACGGCGATGTCTGCAAGCACATTTCTCTACTGCACGTGGAACGACTTGCTTTTGTCTAGGCCATCTGAAATTCACGATATGATTTCATTAAGTGAATTGTTATGTGTGGGGACAGGAGAGGCAAAGCCGCATTGATACATTGACTAATATAAATTCTTAAGTTCATTATGCATTAATTGAATCGTGCAATTACCAAAATGTAAAACAATTAGTATTCCTGAATTCAAACATCTCTGAATCACAACAACGCATGGAATCTCTGGAAGGGAAGTGGGCGAATCATAATGCCTCCAGTGCGCAATGCGGTCCCGAGCTGCTGACTTTGACGCTCACCTGCCTGCACCTGCACGAGCGTGATCTCTCCAATGGAGGTTCCTCCTCCTTCTCCCGTCTCTTCCAGGCTCACTGGGTGCAGTGTGATGATGTGTGTGTCCTCAGAGATGGAGGCGCTCGCCCCACCACCCACGTGTTGCGAGGCCACGGCCTGCAGGGCCCGCAGCGCCGCCGAAGTCACGTCCGTCACGCTGGCCACGCTAGTGCTCACGTCCAGGGGACTCGCCACGCTTATGGTTGTCACGAACGCGACGTCCTCTGGTCCGGACACACTCACAACAGTAGCACCACCAGCCACTCCGCCTGCTTCCAACGATTCAATCAAGCCATTGCCCGAGCTGGTCGTCGCTGCCACTTCAGTATCGGCGTTACTGGTGTTGCTGCCGTCAGCCACGTTTGTCATCTCTGTGCCCACGATGACGGCGATGACATCAGTGGTGTCGGACGTTTCCGCTTTCAGCTCATTAACGTCAACGGACTCCACAACAGCGTCGACTTCAGCCGAGTTGGTTTCATCACCGGTGTCTCTTTCTGTGAACCCCTGTTCATTTGTAGCGACGTCGGCATCTGCTGCAGTGCCCACGTAGGCTGTGAAACCTCCCTCGGCGGAGATCTCCTGTACAGAATCGTCGTTCTCTTTAGGCTGGGCTGCGCTGCTGGCAATAGAATCATCTGCAACTGCAGTGGCAAAATTGGTTTCTAAAACATTCGTCACTTCACCTATGCCAGATGTGGCAGTATCCATGGTCTCCACGCTCAGGACCCTCAGCGATCCGGCATCGGCAAAGGCATCATCACTCTCTTTTGCCTCCGTCCCTTCCGTGACTTCCACAACGTCCATCACCGCAGCGGTGTCCATGAATTCAATCACCTCGGCGCCATCTGTAGCAGCATGGAAAGGCAGCGTCTCATCCTTCATTTCCACATCTTCGACGGTCACGTCAGCCACTGTTACGTCAGCAACGCTGTCGACAGAGGTGGCTTCCACCGGAGCCGTGACGTCGGCGGCCATGTTGACAATCTGTTCGGAGGCACCGTCGATCATCACGTGAACCATCATGTCGGGGGCCATGTGAGACATCTCGATAGAGATCACCTCGGCGCTGTCCATAATCGTGGCATTGGCGTTTGTGTCAGCGGGCTCGGAAACTACAGTGCCACCTGCTGATTCAGTGCCATCTTTCACTGCAAGAGCCACTTCTGAAACCAGAGGCACTTGGTCCAGGTCACCATCCTTCAAAATCAAATGCATGTATCAGTTAGGAGGGAATTTCACATTTACTCAGCAGGATGTATCAAACAGTAAAAAGAATACACTGAAATATTACACATGCACTAAATTTACTCACAAAGCTTGGTCAACTTAACTAACAACTCTTCTGTATGGGCTGCCAAAATCCTCATCTCCAAACTCCAAATGATCAAGAATGCAACCACTTAACTTTCACCCATACCTGGAAACAAAAGTATATTCCCCCTCCTCATACCCTTCCACTGGCTCCATATCCAATAACACATCAAGTAAATGATAGGCCTCATTGTTCAACATCCATATCCTCATGCAATACAAAATAATCTTTAACATTAATGTGCAGAATATTAATACATAAATAAGCAAACAATATACTTATTTCTGTCCCTATCCTCATGGACTCTCTCCCGGCTGCTTTTCCCTGCATATTGTTTTATTTGTTTCTCGTGTGCAACAAAGGGTCTCTCAACTGTCTCTCTTGATGCTTCCTCTCTCTGGAACTTGCTCCCCATGGTCGTCTGTATTGTGAAGACCATTCTTCTGTTCTGCGAGGTCTAAACTTGAGACTTACATTCATGGCCGAGTCCCCTTCTATTTGAAGGCTCAATTTGCCCCTTTACCAAATTGTCTCCTCTCTCTCGCTCTGCCATGATGGCCTTCAACTACCTGATACCTCTGATATCCTGCAAGAATAATTCAAATGAGGCCTTCCTTTTTGTACAGAATCTTGAGATATCATTCGTAAATCTAAATGATACTGCAGTGCATACAGTGGGGTGACGTAAGTCACAAAATAAAACTAAAATCGGCCCAGCGAGCTGGCGGCTTCCCCCTACATACCTCCGACTCATCGGGCTTCTTGGGTATGTTTGACGTGGGGTCATCATCCACGAGTCCCGTGCCCTGGGTAGGCGGCCCCCCTTCCTTCAGCCGAGTGAAGCCGTCCAGCTCCTCCTCGCCAGAGGGTGTGGCCTCTGCCACCTCCTCGCTCGCCATCGGCCACGGCTCCTATTGGCCCACCCCCCCCAGATTCTAAAGCAGAGGGACAGGAGACCCTGTGTTAGCAAAGTCATACAAAATCACAATGCGCAGACAGTAAAACATCACGTCTATTGACAATGTTAGGATAGGTTTTTTTCCCCTTTTTTCTGGCAAAAAAATCCTTTTACAAGGAATCATGTCTGCATTAACCACAATACTTGTGGTCAGAATGCAAACAAAAAACACTGATAATATTATATGCATGTATTATCTATTCTCATATTTGGTACTGACAAAGGAGGTCCCATGATATTGACAACGTAAATTTTTTTCTTTCCCAATTTGCGGATGCCTTATGGGTAAGGAAATTAACCGATGCAAGTACAATAATCTTATTTCTGGCACGAAATTATTACCTTTGTTTTCTGTCAGCTGCACTTTATATTTAAAAACCGCAGGGACAGTAAATGGTGCCCACTATGTGATACGAAAAACCGGGGCGGGAGACGGGAGTGTCTCTTCCTCCCACCCTACCATCTTCTCAGTGTAGTGTGCGTTTACAGTAATGGAGATGAACAGTGAATATTTATCACCATCATGTAACAATCAGTAATTTTACAGGGGACGTGTGTATCTTCCCACCGTGGGCATATGGGGCAGCCCTCAGGCATGAGTGTTGTCTCCATATGGGGCAGTCCATAAACTGTGGGTGAATGCATGTAACACTATAAGTATTCAGATTTTTCTTTAACCTGTTTTTACTAATTATGGAGCTGCCTCACTATGGGTAACCCCCACAAGGTATAGGCTCTACGTGGTCCTATCATGGAGCTAACTCCGGGCCCTGGTTGTACCCTTAAAGTGCAATCATGAGTCTACCCAAAGACACAAGTCTTGAGTTGGTAGACTGTACACTGTTTCACTTGATTTCATGGAATCAAATCTACACTTGTTTATTCTACTTTTAAATAGAAGTGTTTTATTTTATTTTACAAGAACCTTTTAATACAGGATTTTAAAAAAACGTTTACATTAGCAGTGGAGTTACTTTGTAGAAGTAGTTTAAAACGTTGAATTAAGACTATTAAATCCTTGTCAAACCACTGTGCGATGAAAGCCTCTACACACCGTGTTAGTCATTTGTTTGGGTATGTTGACCATATTTCGCCACGCTGGCCAGCGTAGGATGAAATAGGCGGAGCCGAGGTCGAGAGTCTAACTCGGCTCAATGGGCTCATCGTGCGGTGCATTGCAGAACAGCAACACCGCCGAGTTAAACATAAATCCGAGTTTCTCCACGAAACCCGTACTACACTGATACTATCTGTGTATGAGGGCTAAAAAAATTGTATATTGAGCCCCCCCAAATCCAAGCACGATCTGCCATGGTGCCATCACGAGACCTTCAACAAACCCAGCTACTGCCCCTGTATTGGGGGGGGGGGCTCTCATGCGCACTGTGCAGTGTGGGTTGGCATGACGATCCTCAGCAATGCGCATTCTTGAGCATCATGCGCAAAGCAGTATTTATTGTAACATGTGCGGGGGGGGGGGGGGTATGTCTCCGAGTGGGCATATGGTGCACCCCTAGGGTCCAGGTGTTGGGGGCTCTGCCAGTCTCCACATGGGATATTTTAAGGACCCAAGGGATGCCTCGTTATAGGCGACTGCACTCTCAAATGCACTACCATGGGGCCCTCTGGGGCAGCTCACGGATGCCAGGTGTTGACGATATGGTGTTGTCATAAACCCACGGTAATGCCCTCCACCAGTCGTACTGTTGTCCCTACGGTCACAAATCCCTCCGCAGGCCCTGGTGTTGTATCTCTATAGCACCCCCCCGCGGCCCCGATGTTGTGTCCCGATTTACCCGTGGGTCACCAAAGGCCACCACCATCACTCCTGGGCCCTGCTCATTAAACTCGGTAATTGTGCCCAAGTCGCTGTGGCGCGGATTAAACCGCGTAGTTTCCAATCGTATCGCGATGTATTGGCGCAACCTCGCGTCGGCTGCGAATGGGGTTTTATCCAAACAAAAGGGGGACATGTGAAATTTAAAGTCTCAAATGTCACCAACTCAATTCACTCATGATAATTGTTTTTTTACCCTTTTATCTGGCAACAAAACTGACACATTTTTTACAAGGAGTCATGTTTGCATTGACCACAATACCTGCAGTCGGAATGCAAACAAAAAAACATAATGTATGACTGTCCTTGAAGTTGATTGGTCCACATCCGAGACAGCTTTACTTAGAGCCTAGTCTCACATGGTGTTGGACCAGATGACGCCAAAAGGCGCACAACTCAAAGACAATGCACCATCAGGGTATGAGAGCTCGGGGTAAGCATTTACACCATTGGAACCTCCTTTGCCAGTAGCAAAATATAATTGGTTTTTTACCCTTTTATCTGGCAACAAAACTGACACCTTTTTTACAAAGAGTCATATTTGCATTGACCACAATACCTGCAGTCGGAATGCAAATAAAACACATAACTCTGATAATGTATGCACTGTCCTTGAAGTTGATTGGTCCACACCCGAGACAGCTTTCCTTAGAGCGTAGTCTCACATGGTGTTGGACCACATGACGCCAAAAGGCGCACAACTCAAAGACAATGCACCATCAGAGTATGAGAGCTAGGGGTAAGCATTTACACCATTGGAACCTCCTTTGCCAGAGTTGTTTTTTATTTGCATTCCGACTGCAGGTACTGTGGTCAATGCAAACATGACTCCTTGTAAAAAAGGTGTCAGTTTTGTTGCCAGACAAAAGGGTAAAAAAACAATTATCATATTTTTATACTGGCAAATAAGGTTCCAATGGTGTCAATTCACTAATTTAACCACAATGCTGTCAAATACCCTCCAAGCAAATTCCCCTCCACCTCGTCGACATGGCGCCCGAGAAACATTGCAACGACAAAACAAAAACTCTTCCAAATTTCGTCTATAACATCAAAACTAAAACATTTTTTTTTAAAAGACGGCCACCCGTGGATGTTCACCGCAGAGGTTGCAACCCTGGTGGGTGCTGCTGGTGGACCCGGGCAGTCGAGGCCAAGGAGTTTCCACCTCCACCGCCTCCTCCTGCCGCTGTTGTTTGTGGGGACCAGAAGGGCCTCGGCCTCCATTTTGATTTTTTTGCACGAAGAGACGCAACGAGACGCGGGCAAGACGACAATCGGCGAGAGGGAGACGGACCACAGCCGCTCGGCATCTCCCCCCACATCATCATCATCACCACAGCCTCAGCCCTCGGCCGCGTCAACCACGCACGCACGCACCCGCCTCGCCACACATAACTCTGCCCCTGTGCGGCAGAAGCGACAATAACAGCTCGCCGTAGCGGAGGGGCAGAAATATATTTAAATATACGTAGCCGTGCTGGTGGTCTCTCGCGCCTGCCCGCCGATATCAGCAGGACACCTAGAGGCGGCCTCACGCTCGTGCAAGCCGCGACAACGCCGCGCCTCACCACCACCACCACCGCGCCGCGGCGCCGCCATGCGACCAGCCCCCCCTGCTGTCGGTCGCAACACTCACCTCGGCTCCTCCTCGCCGCCGCCGCCGGTGGGCGCTCAACTCCCCTCACCACCGCAGCCACCACCGCAGATTTGTCGAGTTTGCGCCGCACGCCGTTTGCCGAAGTGGCGGGGAAGACGGATGAGGAGGAAGATGAAGAAGAGGGCGGCGGGAGGGAGGGGACCGAGTGCGGCAGCGGCAATGGGCGAGAGGGGGAAGAAGGCGCTCTCGCGAAATGGCGGCCGCGTGACACTCAGTGCGCATGCGCGGGCCCGAGCGAGCGCGAGCGCGCGCGCGCGCAGCGGCCGAGGGCGGGAAAAACACAAAGAGGTGGCGCGCGAGAGCCGCTCGCGCCAGGGGGGGAGGGGCTGAGGGGGGGAGGAGGAGGGGGGGAGGGGTTTCCTCACCGTCTCGCGGGTAGCGCGCGCGCGCGTGCCCCCCACCCCCCTCGGTCTCACAGCAGCGAGGCGAGGCTCGCGCAGGGGGGGGGGGGGGGATTTGGACGAGGCGCGTGTGAGAGCGCGCGCGCGCCGGATCACGTGGTCGATCTCTTAACGATTTTAAAAAAATCCCCCCCCCCTCTCCTCCTCCTCTCTCTCTCACACACTCACAGCCTCGCCCATCGTAGATGCAAGGGGAAGTGGGTGGGGGCGGGTTAAGTGGGATGGGGGGATTGGTGAGTGGGGGATTGGGATGGAGAGTGGGAGGGTGGTATAAGTGGGGGGGGTATGAAAAGTGTGGTGGGGGTGGAATGGAAAGTGGGGAGTGAAAAGTTGGGGGGGGGGTATAAATGTGGGGCGGGGGGGGGGTTGGGGGGTATAAATGTGGGGGGGGGGGGGGTGAAAAGTTGGTGGTGTATAAAGGGGGGAGGGGGGGTTGTGAGTGGGGGGATTGGGATGGAAAGTTGGGGGGGGGGTATAAATGGGGGGGGGGGAGTGAGAGTGAGGGGGTTATGATGGAAAGTTGGGGGGGTGTAAATGGGGGGTGTTGTGAGTGGGGGGGGGGGATGGAAAGTTGGGAGGTAAAAATGGGGGGGGGGGGGTGTGAGTGGGTGAATTGGGATGGAAAGTTGGGTGGGGGGGGTATAAATGGGGGTGGGATGGTAAAGGGATTGGGGGGATGTGAGTTGTGAATTGGGGGGGGGAGGTGGGTTGGTGTGATCAATGAGGAGAGACTTTTTGGTGGAGGGATTTGTGGATTGCGAAGGTCATCTTGCATGGGGGGGGGGGGGGGGGGGGGGTGGGAGCTCCTCTGCCCGTCCATATTCGGCCAACTTACACGGGGTTAGAGGCCGTCCATAAATGACGTCACGCACCTAGGAGGGGGGGTCAGACATTTGTGACGATGTCTGACAAGGGGAAGGGGGGGTTTGAGAAATTTGACGTCACATCAAAATGCGCAACTTTAAATAAATATGGACAACACGTTCTACCTTTGATCTTTCAGTAAAGTCACGTAGAAGGGAAATAATAAAATAATAAAACATTATATTATTTTATGATGTTTTATTTCTATTATTTATTTCCCTTCTACGTGACTTTACCGAAAGAACCAAGAAGATGAATCCCTGCAGTCACGAAAGCTTTAAAACGTTCTACTTAATTAAATCGACTTTCTAATAAATTCTAGATTTGAAGCTTTCGTGACTGCAAGGATTCATATTCTTAGGGTTTTTCGGTAAAGTCACGTAGGTAAAACATCAAAATTAATAATTAATTTTTATTAATTTTGATGTTTTACCTACGTGACTTTACCGAAAAACCCTAAGAATATTTCTAATAAATGTTTTCTCCTACATCAGAGTGCAGCGCCACATTATTTTGGGGGGGGGGGTGCAGAGCTTTGTGACGTCATATTTGAGGGGGGGGGTCTGACTTTTTGTGACGCCTTGTGACGAAGTGGGGGGGGGGGTCAAAAATCGTTCAAAATCGCGTGACGTCATTTATGGACAGCCCCTTAGTGGGGGGGCGGGGTTAGGGGGGGGGGTGTAAACATCCGTCATTGGTCAACATAAGCGCCGCCAATGGAAGACTTCGCACGCGCGTGCGGCCATCTTGGTCAAGGTTAAGCGCCGATGCTGAGTTGGTAATAGGGCGGCCATCTTACTTAGGGGGTGATCTGGCGGCCATCTTACTAGGGGGTGATTTGGCGGCCATCTTACTAGGGGGTGATTTGGCGGCGGCGGCGTTGGTGGTGTTGGTGGTGGTGTTGATCGCGCTTGCGTGCAGAAGCCGCGTTAAGAACCTCCGATTGCCCAGTCCCGGGGGGCACCCCCCCCCCCCAAACCGACTCCTCTTCTTCATCAATTCCCCCTAAGACCGGAGGCATCTGCCAGGCTGCCGTGAGTACCGACGGAGCCTTGGCGCCGCTGGACTACCCCCTCGGACATCTTCAAGAGGTGGAGCCCACGGGCCACGGGCCACGCTCTGTCAGTGACGGTGAATGAAATGGGGGGAGCGACGTCGCGGCCAGCACGGTGTCACCTGGAGGTGTGAGGAGTGCCGTGGGGAGCTCGTCTTGCCTGCCCCCGTGCCTTGTGGCCCGCGTGTTACACCAGATCTGCAGGGTGACCTGACCCCAACCAGGTGGGCAGACAGGCGACCTCTGGCGACCTCTGACCCCCCCATGGGAGACCCAATCTGCAAGTGACTGGACCTTCATTTGCACCGACCTCAAGGTGGACAGAGGCACGGGTGACACGACCCCTGGCGTGAGTGAAGCAGCCTCTACAGGTGACCAAACCAACCAACCCACCCCCCAGGTGACCGGACCTTCTACAGGTGACCAGATCCATGGCCGGGCTGGAGGCACACGTGGGCATCCCGGACCCCTACGTGCTCTTGAAGGCGCCGCAGTGCGACTCGGACGTGAAGCTGGAAGCCGGCGACTGCTGCCACGCCGCCAGTGAGTCTCTCAGTGGGCTGTGATACGCGAGTGATGATGATGATGATTTACACCAGCGGTCGGGAACCTATGGCTCGCGAGCCATATATGGCTCTTCCGGTGACGGCATATGGCTCCCAAACAATTTTGAGTTGAAAAAAATAATAACAAAAAATAAAAAATAAAATCAGTTTGGAACTGATTTTAAAATACTTGTGATATTGCTTAATAATACTGTGTCATTTTAAAGTAATCAGAAATTAGCTTTTAAGATACAATTTCACGGGTCACGGGTCCCGTGACCAGAAGTCGCATTAAAAGTAAGACATATTTAATTTATTATACGTTAAAAATACTATATGGCTGTCAATGAAATATATTTAGAAATATTTGGCTTTTATGGCTCTCCCAGTCAAAAAGGTTCCCGACCCCTGATTTACACGGTGCAAAGTACTTGGGTCGATACACTGTTGGATTACGGCCTCGCCACAAAGTGCAGGGCCCTGGGAGTTGTTTGGCCATGGCAGGATGTTGGAAGGTAGGAAGGTATGGGAGCGTAGTTGAGGGTGGTGGTGGTGGTGCGAAATAGTTTAGCGGATCGTGAAATATAATTTATTGATCTCCACTGCCCTCTGTTGACAACACAGCAGCCGACAGCCCCCCCCCCCCCCCCCCCCACTGAACTACGCAGATCTGTCTTCTTGGTTCCTTCGGTAAAGTCACGTAGAATGGAAATAATAAAATAATAAAAATAAAACCCATATAATAATTCTCACGACGTTTCGGCCACAACGCAAGCAGCCGTCCTCAGGTGGAGAACAGGTCCGTCGAGAAGACAGAGTCTGAATGATACACCCCAGGCTTGGAGCGACTATTTATGGCTGGGATGGGATTTAAGCTGGGATACGCAGATCTGACCAGAACGGGTGATTTGAAATTATCTGAAAATTACTTAATTGGGAAAACACGTAGTAGTGCCCTCGTAAAAAAAAGGAAATTTGGCAGGACCCTACCGAAAAAGGATTTTGAGACTATTTTGATGCTTTCCTGGGTAAACGAGTGGAGTAATGATACTACAAATACATTATTGGCCAGAGGCGTCCATTATAATAATTTGAATACTTTGGGGGAGACGGGACAAATATAAACCCAAATGTGGGCCACAGTGGCGAGATGTTAACTACCTCGCCTGGAATATTGGCGGTTGTGGGTTCGATCCCGACCCTGACACCTGTATATTTGGATTTTGCATTTACAGTACTTGTGGTCGAGTGTATTTTTCTCCGGGTCCTCCGATTTCTTCCCTCCACATTTACAAACGTGCGTTCAGAGTATTTGGCTGTGGTACATTTCCACGTGATGAGCCACTTAATTGAGCTATCATTTGCGGCCAGGTTGCTTCTGAAAAAAAGCTACATAGTTCAGCGGGCTTTACCTGGTAAAATAAAATAAGTTTTAGTTTCAAACAAAAACCTGATGACGCTGTGTGCGTTCCCAGAGTTATGCTTCCCGATGGAGGCCCTGGCAGAGCACGATGAAGGGGCACTCTTCATGGGCTCCGAGACGGACGTCGTCACCAGCAACGGGGACCTGGACGCCAGCGAAGGTCGGGTCGCTGTTTGTCTGCGATCGTCGCGTGCCTCCTGGCCCCCACCATGCTGCATCGTGTGCGCACACTGAGCCGCTCACTCCGTTACCTATGGGGTTACTGGACCCCGTGAAAGCACATTGGGTGGTTATAAGTTGACAGGGCACGTGTCTGTATGGAGTTTGTATGTTCTCCCCCTGTTGTGCTTCAATTTCCTCCTGATTTTTTTTTATTTAAGGGTTTCGTGACTGCAGGGATTCATCTTCTTGGTTCTTTTGGTAAAGTCACGTAGGAGGGAAATAATAAAATAAAATAAGTAAAAATAAAACATAATAAAATATTTTATTATGTTTTATTTTGATTATTATTTCCCTTCTACGTGACTTTACCGAAAGAACCAAGAAGATGAATCCCTGCAGTCACGAAAGCTTTAAATCGAAATTTCTTCCCATTGCCGAAACTAAACACCATAACTGGTATTGGGCCAAAAACATTCCATTGCTGAAAAACGACCTGCATATGACTCAATTTGAGATTACACATCACTACCCCCCACTGTGAAAAACTTGGCAGGACCCTCCTGTGAAAGTATTGATGTTCTATGAGGCTTTGCTGGGTAAACAAACGTAATTATCAAAATTATCATAATAATAATTAGGCAGTGTAGGTGTGTAATATGCTACCTCCAGCAGCACCCTCCAACAATTTTATCTTAATGATTCTATGTTGAATTTTTCTAGGTTTTATCTTGGCACAGGTAAAACCCATAGGGCAATGAACGCTTATTTTCGATGGGGACTTGCTTACACAATGAAAACCTGGCTACAGAAAACAAAAATGAACAAAACAATCCAAATACATATTCTTGGTTCTTTCGGTAAAGTCACGTAGAAGGGAAATAAAATAATATAAAACAATATGAATATGAATCCCTGCAGTCACGAAAGCTTTAAATCAAAATCCAAATACAGCTACATTGTCAAGTTATGAATGGTAAGGTCGTGCACCATCAACAAGGTAATATCAGTGCAATAAATCCAAGGCCAATAGAACAGATCACATACTGAAACATGGATTTGGGAACGGATTATTTTTTTACATCTAATTTGATTCGCACGGTTGGCTACATATGGTGTGAAATCAGTTCTAAATACATACATTTGTGTTTTCCCTATGTTTGTACTGGTTTGTTCGCCCCATAAGAATATATATTACATGAATTGTAAATCATCTATTCTAAAATGCTTAATTCAATGCGCATACTGTGAGAGTATAAATTTATGAATAAACGAATGCAGTGCTGCATCCTGCATCACTAATTCAGCATTTAATTCGCATCAATGCACCCAGGTTGCCCTTGCAATGTAGGAAATGTTTTACATGTCTCGAGTTTTATTTAATATTCTGGTGAAAGAAAGGACACTGTGCATAATAATACGGGTACCGTGGGGCACTTGAGACAGTGATTCCCAACTCCTCCACGACTTGGCCTAATTCCCCACGCATTGTCGATCCTACAGGGCATGTGGTCATTGAGGACGGTGAACCGAGCCACCTGCTCCTGCAATGTGCACAGATGGAGGAGGACAAGACCAGCGGCTGTGTGGAAGAGGTGGAGGGTGAGTTGCCTCCCGAACACGCCGCCTTCGGCCTGGATGCGGGAGTGGCGGCGGCGGCAGTGGTGGAGGGCAACGCCGAGGCGATGGAGACACCGCTCAGGGCATGCCGGGAGCGGAGCAAGAGAGCCGTGCGCTGGAGCAAGCGGTGTCCCGCCGAGCCGGAAGGGCCCGACGACCCGGGGGATGCTCCGTTCCGGTGCAACACGTGCCAACAGGAGTTCCGCAACCGCCTGTCGCTGGTGCTACACAGCCGCACGCACGGCGCCGGCGAGCAAGGCGGTGACGAACCGCGCACCAAGAGAGTGGCGACGGGCAAAGCGAAGGTGAAGCCGACGGCGGCGGTGCCGAAGAAGAAGCGCCCGGAGGGGAGGTCGAACGGGGAGAAGCCTTACGTGTGCGAGGACTGCGGCAAGGCGTTTGCGCAGCCCTTCCACCTGCTGCAGCACAGGCGCACGCACACAGGCGAGCGACCGTACACCTGCAGCCAGTGCGGCATGTGCTTCGTCTACTCGTCGGTGCTGCGCCTGCACAAGCGCGTGCACTCGGGCGAGAAGCCGTTCAAGTGCGGCGAGTGCCAGCGCGCCTTCACGCAGTCGTCCAACCTGCGCAAGCACATGACGACGCACACGGGCGAGCGGCCGCACCAGTGCGAGAGCTGCCCCAAGCGCTTCACGCAGCGCTCGGCCCTCAACCGCCACCGCAAGACGCACGGTGGGGAGCGGGCCTTCGTGTGCGAAGACTGCGGCAAAGCCTTCATGTTCCGCACCAACCTGGCGCTGCACCGGCGCGTGCACACGGGCGAGAAGCCGTACATCTGTGACGAGTGCGGAAAGCGCTTCTCGCTCTCGTCCGGCCTCGCGCGCCACAAGAAGGGCCACTCGGGCAAGCGGCCCTACGCGTGCCCCGAGTGCGGCAAGGCCTTCATCCGCATGGCGCACCTCAACCAGCACCGGCACATGCACACGGGCGAGAAGCCGCACGTGTGCACCGTGTGCGGCAAGGGCTTTGCGCAGCACTGCGGCCTCAACTACCACAAGAAGCGCTGCTTCATTAGCCTGTGTACCTGAGTCGGCTGCCATCGCCGCCACTGAGGCCAATGCCGCAGTAGCTGTATTTGCTGCTAAGCCGTGTCCACGCACAGGCATGTGGTGAAGTAACGCCGAGTCTGTTACATTTGCGAGTGTGAGTGCCCGGTTATGGGCGCAGCTTCGAAGGCACAGGTGCCTCCTGTAGGGACACTGACAGCAGTGTAGTTTATTTGGCAGAGCTTTTAGACTACGTTTTCCGTTACCATGCACAGTGTTGGAAGGCAGGTTGTTCACTGAGTGACTGTGGTGGTCCCATGTCCACCCATTTTGTCAGTGTGTGACTGTCATCGACAGCGCCGTTCTACGCCGGCACGTCATACACATCCACATCTCACCCACCACATCTGCCGTGGCCCGGTATTGAGGAGACAGCAGTTTTGTTTGTAAATACGTTTCCATGCTGTACATTTAACAACAACAAACTTTTATGTAAACTGAATTGTTTTCAAGAGCTTAAATATTGCATTGAAATGTAGAATCTGTTTACCTCTAACTTAAGGTATAAAAGCAGTGTTTTAGTTCAAGGGAGACGCACGAAGAGCCGTCATCTGGCAGATACTAAACTAGGATTTGTGTCACACGCAAGCTGCCCGGTTTGAGTTTGAAGTTTCCTTGATGAAAGAAAAACACATTTCGGCATCGGTCTGGCGCTCTGTCATATCTTTTTATTAATGTCATTGCAATGATTATTATTAAAACTGGAGATGACATGACGGCCAGTTTTTCGTTCTCATTCACGAAGCTTCAAGCCCATGTCCGGGACAGCCTGAAGCACACGACCTAAGACGCCTTTACAATAAATGGGATTTTGTCTTGGGGGTTGTATCCTCCTCAAAGCCCTACGGTGTGCTTGAATTTTACCTAATTTATGTGTACTGCTTATCCGAGTTTTGTCGTCAGTAAACCACACGGTTACATCTCTGTCTTTACGTGTGGCAATTACTTCTTGTGTCACCATTGCCCAGTCTCACTCCACTGCGAGTTGATGATGGTCTCTATGCACAATTCACAACACATTCCTGCGGAGGGAGCTGGTAGGAACGTTGGGTTGCTCGGTCAATGGCCTGCAGGGTCAACGGCGGCGTGGTGTATTCTGCAAATATGGCCGACTGTGAGGGCGGGCACAAGCCGGCGTGAGTAGGTTAAACGTTGAGTTTTATAAGGGCACCACGGGGTAACCAGCCCCTCCCCACCAAGCCCCATCCCTCCCACCCAGTCCCACCCTCCCCACCCAGCCCGACCCAGCCCCTCCCCACCCAACCCCTCCCCACCCCACCCAGCCCCTCCCTCCCCACCCAGCCCCTTCTTGCACACCCAGCCCCTTCTTGCACACCCAGCCTCTCCCTGCACGACGGACACAATAATCCCCTGTGGGCTGGTGTAACCAGGAGGTTCCTACCAGTATAACTCCCTTCTTGCCTGTAGCCACGCGTTCCACCACTGCACTCGACATGCCCCGAGCCTTAACCCTCCATCAATGATCATACCCCCCCCCTCTCCCAGTCATGCCTTAGCTAGGCCTCGGAACGTTAAATTAGCCAATCCACAGCCATCAACAACAAGCGATCATTATATAATACCCTCGGTATTAGCACCATTGTTGTAGTGCAGGGCTATTGCGAAGAGGCGCTATGTTTCACACGTGGATATAGTATGGCAGTACAGAGTGATTTTGCATTGCCTAATCCCAATTAAGTATTTTTCTCATTTTGACCATGACATTTAGGGAACAATGAACCTCCACTGCTCAGTAAACGGCGCATATTTTACTGTTAATACAGCCGCAGTAATAAGCAGGGCGGCCTGGAGCAGGTTCTAACCACGGACCTCTGCCACAAGCGGCACACGCGCTATCGCTGGGCTGGGTCACCGCCCGCACAACATTCACGGTTCGAACCATTGAGCAATACCACGGCCATAACCTTTGCTATGCACCTTTTCGCGAGTCATGATCCTAAACCATCACCTAAGCCATGCCGCCATCCATCACCCCAGCCATCATCCCCCAAACATCACCCCAAGCCATGCCCCCATCCAAGCCCCAAACCACCCCAGCCATGCCCTCAACCATGCCCCCAAACCATCACCCCCAACCATGCCCCTATCCATGCCCCCAACCATGCCCAAAACCACCCCAGCCATGCCCCCCTCCATGCCCCCAACCATTACCCCAAGCCATGCCCCCAACCATCACCCCAAGCCATGCCCCAAACCATGCCCCCAAATCATGCCTCATCCATGCTCCCAAACATCGCCCCAACCATGCCCCCAACCATCACCCCCAACCATGCCCCCATCCATGCCCCCAACCATCACCCCATCCATGCCCCCAACCATCACCCCAAACCATCACCCCATCCATGCCCCCAACCATCACCCCAAACCATCACCCCATCCATGCCCCCAACCATCACCCCAAGCCATGCCCCCAACCATCACCCCCAACCATGCCCCCATCCATGCTCCCAAACATGCCCCCAACCATCACCCCAACCATCACCCCAACCATCACCCCCAACCATCACCCCAAGCCATGCCCCCAACCATCACCCCAAACCATGCCCCCATCCATGCTCCCATGCATGCCCCCAACCATCACCCCAAACCATCACCCCAACCATCACCCCAAGCCATGCCTCCATCCATGCCCCCATGCATGCCCCCAACCATGCCCCAAACCACCCCATCCATGCCCCCAAACATCACCCCAGCCATGCCTCCATCCATGCCCTTAAACCATCACCCCAGCCATGCTCTTAGTCATATGCCCTCAAAGCGTATAACTCCAGTCATGCCACAAGCCGGCAGACCTCTTCCCATTCCGGCGGACGTCTTCTAATCCCGGAAGATGTCTTCTAATCCCGGAAGACGTCTTCTAAACCCGGAAGACGTCTTCTAATCCCGGAAGAGGTCTTCTAATTCCGGAAGACGTATTCTAATCCCGGAAGACGTCTTCTAATCCCGGAAGATGTCTTCTAATCCCGGAAGATGTCTTCTAATCCCGGAAGACGTCTTCTAAACCCGGAAGAAGTCTTCTAATCCCGGAAGAGGTCTTCTAATTCCGGAAGAAGTCTTCTAATTCCGGAAGACGTATTCTAATCCCGGAAGAGGTCTTCTAATTCCGGAAGACGTCTTCTAATCCCGGAAGACGTCTTCTAATCCCGGAAGACGTCTTCTAAACCCGGAAGACGTCTTCTAATCCCGGAAGAGGTCTTCTAATTCCGGAAGAAGTCTTCTAATTCCGGAAGACGTATTCTAATCCCGGAAGAGGTCTTCTAATTCCGGAAGACGTCTTCTAATCCCGGAAGACGTCTTCTAATCCCGGAAGACGTCTTCTAAACCCGGAAGACGTCTTCTAATCCCGGAAGACGTCTTCTAATCCCGGAAGAGGTCTTCTAATCCCGGAAGACGTCTTCAATTCCCGGAAGACGTCTTCTAATCCCGGAAGATATCTTCTAATCCCGGAAAACCTCTTCTAATTTCGGAAGACGTCTTCTAATCCCGGAAGAAGTCTTCCAATTCCAGAAGACGTCTTCTAATTCCGGAAGACGTCTTCTAATTCCGGAAGACGTCTTCCATGTGACAGCGTCCAAGTTTATTCGAGAAGACGCCGGGCGACAGTGCACACGCGTTCCTACGTCCTGTGCGGTATGGACTCTTGTTTCGTCGCGTTTGTCTACGTGAACGTGTCCCTGGCCCTCCCCTAGGTCGACTCGACCTATAAAACATCGCCACTCGGGAGAGACAAAGGCGGCCGGGCGTGGTGCTGGCCACCCACAACACCAGCTCGCGTGTCGGCCTTCGTAGGTGCTGCCCGCTCACAGCACTTGATTAAAGGGATGATCTTTGTTTTTTATAATCAATAATAATATGGTGTTAACCATCGTGTGTGTGCTAACTCGCGTTGCCTAAGCCGAGCTTGACGCATACTCCTAAACGTTGACGGTAACAAGCCGAGCCCGATAGAATGATGACTTTAATCTAATTCTAGATTTGAAGCTTTCGTGACTGCAAGGATTCATATTTTTGGGTTTTTCGGTAAAGTCACGTAGGTAAAAAAAATCAAAATAAACGTAAAATAACTTAATCTAAGTTGTCTTGTGTTTGGTTCTTTCGGTAAAGTCACGTAGAAGGGAAGTAATGAAACAAAAATAAAACATAAAATAATTCTCACGACGTTTCTTCACCTGAGGACGGCTGCTTGCGTTGTGGCCGAAACGTCGTGAGAATTATTTTATTATGTTTTATTTTTATTATTTTATTACTTCCCTTCTACGTGACTTTACCGAAAGAACCAAGAAGATGAATCCTATGCAGTCACGAAAGCTTTAAATATAATTATTTTATTATGTTTTATTTTATTACTTACCTTCTACGTGACTTTACCGAAAGAACCAAGAAGATGAATCCTATGCAGTCACGAAAGCTTTAAATCGATATAGTCTAAGTTGTCTTTTGCTTGTTGTTGTTGTTTAACTTGCATCCCCCACTGGGATTTTTTCACAGCGTTGGTGCTTTTTTCTGGAGGACTTTGCAGTTTTTTTCTTGGATTTTTCTGTTTGCGCATAGTCATTTTAAGATGTTTTCTTGTTCATGTTTTTTGTTTGTTGCTGTTGCACCCGATTCAAGAGCCGAATGGCTCACAGGGCTACGCCTAATAAATACAACTGATACTTCACATCCAGCTTACCCCCTCCTCAGCTACTCCCTAACAACCAACGCTTTAGGCCAGGGGTGGGGAACCTTTTTTCTGCCAAGGGCTATTTTTGATATTTACAACATCATTCGCGGGGCCATACAAAATGATCAACTTAAAAATTAGCCCGTTGTTATATTTGGTCAAACATTTAATTAACTCGCCCCTAATGTGATGGCCGGAACTGCTTCTCTTTGGTGTGGCATGTGATGTTAGCTGGTATTGATGATGCTGCTGCTACTCGCAACTGCTTTTCCAGGTTTGCTCCTAGATTTGTTGAATTTCGAGTCCCGCCTGCGGTTGCCTTGGCAGGGCCACACCACATGATTTCGCGGGCCTCACACGGCCCGCGGGCTGGACGTCCCCCGCCCCTGCTTTAGGCCCACCACCCTACCTCTTAACCCGGCCTATCCGTAAGCCCTGACTCCCTACGTCGCTTTACCCCACGGCTGACCGCTCTGCTCATCCCCCGCTCAGAAGACCCCCAGGCATGTCGCAGCGGTGGGCCGTGCGTGCCGGCGACCAGGCCCTGCTCTTGTGGGCCGCGCCCGTGCAGCCCGGGGCAGTGGCGGAGGCCGTCGAGGAGCTACGGTCAGCGGTGGGGCCTCGGGGGGCCGTGGCCGTGGAGAACGTGGACATGCTGGCCCAGTGTGAGCAAGCCGACGCACGCCAGACCGGGGGGGTGTCCTTGTGCTGCGTATATCGAGACCAGGAGAAAGATTTCCACCCCCCAACCCAAACGCCGTGTAGCCTGGAAAAGCGGGTGGGCGATGTGGAACCATCGCCGCTTGGGAGACAACATTGGAGGCTGAGTCTACCTAGGGGAGACCCAGGACTGGTTCGGTTAATAGTCACCGGTGTTTGCCGTCAGCGGGAAACCAAACTCTAGTTACCGGGTTCGTAGCGCAGCGTGCTAACCACTACACTACCAGTTTAACACGTAGGCTTTCACGACAAACAGGTCTGGCTGTCGCCTGATGAAGCTAGTTGTAATTACTGGCGAAACGTCGTACTCAGATTTTAAATGTTGTGGCTTGGCTCTCCAACACACCGGTGTGCTGTACTCGTGACAAATTGGCACGTTCTGTTTACGTGACAACCCTTACTATTTATGCAATCTAACCCAAAAAACCTCTATTATCCACTACACTACCACTTCCCATACGTATATACACTCTCACATGCATACACACATAGTACAATATAAAGGTGCTATCATGGCCAAA